ATAAGAAACGTAATAACGACATACTAGTGGATGAATCAATGACGTCGACAATCTAGATCGCTGATGTTTTCGTTGCCAATCTACGTTTCCTTCTGGAATAAACACTGATGATTTGTTCAATTGAATCATTCGCATTGTTTCGTTCATTTTTGCATCTTGTAACACGTGAAAAGACGATTGATTGTTGAGAAAAACAAAGTAAAATAAAATTATAGAAATATGATTCTTTAGATTTTGAATATACCCTTTTTTTGTTGCATGAAGATTTCCCTCATTTATGTTTGGTAGTTCTATTAGAGAATGACCACATACAAAATTAATAAATTTAAACGAACATTTATGTTTATCATTTAAAAAAAAGCAATGATGGAATAAAAAAAGCTTTAAACGAAATCCTTGAGGAAGCAGGCCGCACGAAGGGCTTCACATTTCTCGCTAAATATTTCAACACTTATTTCAAATTGTGTTTCACAAAATACAATGAAAAGGTTAAATCAAGAGATAACTCTATGGCCCGATGAATTGAAATATAATCGGCCTTTTCGTAATTTTCAGTATCTGAAGGATTTTTCTCTTTCAAACTATTTCAAATTCCACTAAAAAGTACATTTGGGACGCCCTAAAATCGACATTAAATGGTAAATTCTTTTTTTTTCAAGTGAATGATTTTTCTCGAATTTCCAACAGGAAGATGTTTAATATAACTAGTTTTACTTAAAATTCAGATTCGCATCCTTCTATAACTTATCATTAAACTTAAAGTTTATAGACTTGTCCAGATTTCATGAGTTCTGAAGTGTTGAGGAATTCAGAACTCGAGCATGACCCAAAAATTGATCAATTACTAACCGTAGCTAAACAGAATGGCAGGAACACATGGAAGTCAAGTCTATCAAGGAACTTCCAAAATTCTCAGAACACAAAGTATTCAAAGAACTGAGGGAGTCAATGGCTGTGTGGGTAGTTTGTGGATGTGAATCTTCACTATATCATCACAAACGGACACCAACAGTGACACTCACACCAACACAGTACACACTGTAAAAGAAAAAAGTATAGAAAAATCAACACTTATTCTTGTTTATTTCAATTGATACAAACACTTTTTTGGTTTATGCGCGTAATCTATCCTTTCTGTTCATAAATCTTGGCAAAGGCTGGTAATTCGTCTTAAATTTATATACCTTTGTACTGTTTTATATGCTTATGAACCATTTTTGGATATATGAACTTATTAAGCCTTTGGGCAAAGGACTTATTATTCTACGATTGTGTTTAAAATGTGCAATAATAAACCTTTCGTTTTAGAATTTAATCTGCTCATATATACAAAAATAATTTATGAACACAGAAAACAGTGTACGAGTATATGAATTTGCAACGAATCACAAGTTTTTGTCAAGATTTATGAGTAGAAAGGATGTATGAAAGTGTAGATAACACGCACAAACCTAAAATGGGGTTTATACCAATGCTAATAAACGTATATGAGAGTATATCATTCTACACTTATTGTTTATAGTGGACCTATATCCCACAACTACATCACACACCCTCAGTCACACCTATATATACATCAATAAATTCACTCATACCCTCATCCACATCCACATCCTTAGGTTCCTTGATTTCCTTACATTCCTCAGATTCCGAGAGTTCTGTGACTTTCATAGGTTTGCTATTAGATTCTGAGAGTTTCGTGAGTTCTGCGAATTCTTAGAGTTTCGAGACTTTTATGAGGTCTGAGAGCCCTGAGATACTTATCAGTTCTACGAGTTCTTGGAGCTCCGTGAGTTTGGAGAGTACTGAGAGTTTCTTAGGTAGTTCGAAAAAGTGAGTCACAAAAAAACAAAATTTATTATGTCTACATTCTATCTTTGTGACACACCATGAAGTTGCACTTTCTAGAGTTTCAAAAGTTAAGAACTTACGAAATCGAGTCGCTGTTAAATTTTTTTATTCTTTTAGCTTAGTTTCAAATTGTATTTAATAGATAGAAGCAAGAAAATATTTTTTTATTCAGGTGAACACATAACCATATCCTTACAGTTACCCAATAACACATACTATTACTGATAATTTTTAACTAATACTATTGTTCACATTAATGTGCTACCAGGCACTGCCAGCAAAATTATTTTCTGTTATAGCTTTTGCAATAAACAGTCCAAAAACACTTTCGTTGATTATAACTCATAAAACAGTCTCATGGTAACCATTGAATATCCTAACATTTGTGATGCATGAAAGTAATAACGCCTTAGGATGTGGGTGGGTGTGCGTGTAGTTATGGATGAAGAGAGGGCAAATATCTACACCCCACTCCCACACGCACACCCACCAACACCCATACCCACACCCCACCCTTTTCTTGTTCTTTTGCTTCATGAATGAAAAGCTATTCATCATAGATGATTGCTCGATTTAATTGACGCAGAAATAGTATTCATTCATCGTGTACGGTCTGATTATTGTTTCTTTGAGACAAATACTCGACTGCAAGAAGTATTTGTTGAAAATAACCATCGCTTTTGGAAAGGTCTGAATCATTAAATTTGAGCAGCACTTTTTCTTTGAATGATTTCCGAGGATACAATGTGTTTAATACATCTGAATTCGTTTTATGTTTGACTCACTCCTACTGAATAGGCAACAATTGAAACATAAGTCAACTTAATTAATTATCGTGTGAGATCGATGTTGGGTATCACAGCTTACGACAACACAGGTATTTTTTCGTTTTTCTAAGTCGACACTCGTTCATCGCATTTTCTACATCTATTTCTTGTATCAAGGCTGAAAATGAAGTAGAATTCTTTCGTTTAGACTGATATTTGCCGAGCTTAGGCACATTTTTCTGTCTTATAAGTGTCTTTAAGAAAGAAGAAAAAACAACGATTCAAATTACCACCCTCAACTACAGTGTCCGAAGTGAAGCTTCTACACCTGTAGACAGTGTGGCATCAATACGTGGATTGTTTTACTAGTGGATGGATGGCAGAATTCTTCACAAGCAGAATTAAATAGCTCTGCTTACTACATGAATGTATGTGGGCTGCTGTTTTACATTTAGTTAGTTTATTCCATATGATTAATAACAACGAACAAATCATTGGTGAACAGTTAATACCTTATTGACGCTCTGCCACATAAAAAAATAACCTCCATAAAAAGAGAATCAAACATCAAAATAGCTCATACAATAAATAGAATATACTGTATCTTTCTGTGTCTGCCATAAGTACCATTGTAGGTATGCAATGCCTATCTTTTCTGTATGGTAATGAAACAACTAATGAGCGCTGATGACACTCATGCGGAGCATAAAAGCAGTGACTATGGAAGCCAGTCACAAATAGTCAAACACTTCTCATTCTTTATTTTTGGCAATATTGTCAATAGTTTGATAAAAAAAACAAATAATAACGCTATCAATGTAATCTCTGCAGGATTAACACTTGAAATACCAGAGAACTCTCTCCATACTACATGAGAGCATGCTCAGAGTGTGTCCTACAGTCATAACTGTAGCGTTTTGCCACTGGAATACAAGTGATGCTCTACATTACTCTTTAGGATGAGTCAAGAAGACGAATATTCTACAGCTTTACAGTCAATATCAATCTAGCATTGTCCAACTTAAAAAAATACACATGCATTCCTATATTGACAAGCGATACCCGGGTGAAACAAAACACAAGAATAGAACTGTAACATAAAGATAAGTCAATAACGTATACAATGTTGAAGAATCACAAGTGAGTGATTAAATATTTGCGTTCACGATAAGCGCACATAGTAAGAATCCTTATATATAGTGAAGACGCGAAATTGGGGTGTTCATAAAAGCACTCAACGAATTGAAACCAATACATCCGGTGTGTAGATAATCACCAGCAACTTAACAATAAGCTCGATTAAGGTACCTGCAGCACTTATTCTTTGATTGAACAGTTTATTGGATCCATTGATTGATAGAAAGGTTCTAGGTTTAGAATATGCATTCATGAGGATAAACACTTCCTTATTTTGCCGATTGATTGATGGATATCTTTGTCCGCCTTCCACCGTCTCCGAATATCCGTAAATGTGAGGGAGTTTTTTCATTGAACCAATGTCTCTGATCCTGCTGCCTCGGTCATCTTCGATACCAATAGTAAATATTTGAATTTGAAATAGGTGCTTAACATTATTAATTAAAAGTCAAATAGACGTTGCTGTCAAATTTTTCTCCACTATATAATCAGGAATATTTACCATCGTCAAGTATATTACACTTTAAGATATATAACTCACGAGAGAACCTCTTCAGGTGTCAAATCGCTTTATCTGAATAAAGGTTGCCTTTACACGTAAGAAAATATTGAATACTCCCTATCTCCAGATAGGAGATACCAGAAACGCTACAACTTTTACAATGAATTAATTTCATAGAAAACTATTTTTTATTATCTCACGAGGAAAGGCGCCGAAAATCAAAGCACTCTAAACTCTTAGCTTACTCACTAGTACTTATCAAATAAACATAGCGTCGCTTCAAAAATGAATTGATAACATGCTATTGTATATTTTGAAAAAGAAAAAAAATATTAATTTTTTATATTAATGCGTAATTGTATTATATTGCTGTCTGAGCAACATAGTTAATTTCTTTCGTTAATATAAACAGAAGACAAAGAAAAGAACAAAAAGAGAAGAAAACACTGTTTTACATGACAAACACTATATACATAAAAACTCAACAAAAGAAATCGCAAACGAGAATTTAAGCATTTTTATATTTCTCTCCTTGCTATTTTTTTTTTGTTTTGTTGCTTTCTTTTCATACATATATATATTATTGCAGAAATAAAGAAAATACGAGATAGGAAATAAATAAAAAACATATTTGTTTTGTGTTTTTTTTTATTTTAAATAGAGATACACAGAGAAGAACAAAAAAATCATCTTCCTATCTGACGGAACTGGTTACTACATTATATTATTTGTTTTTTTTCTGTCTAATGTCGTCGATTTGACGATGAATGAGATGTTGAATAACCATAGGGTGTTGTTGAATTACCAATATACGGTATTGGATTTGTATCATTCGGTTGATAACACATTTGTTGTCCTGATGCATACATAGGAGATGATAATGTTGGATAGTAGGACATATAATTCATTGACATCAGAGATGGATAATAATATGGTTGCATATCCATCGTTGGTGCAGTTGGATAAGGATATGGATATGATGTTTGTCCATAATTATATGTCATATTAGTTGAACTATTAAAGTTATTTATTGTTATTGATTGTTGTTGTTGTTGCTGTTTAGCAACACTACTTCTTGTTGAATAATTAAAATGATCTGTTTGTGAAACATTCATTGATGTTAAACCAGATGATTGATCATTGATTGCTTCAACTTCTTTAGTTCTTGCCATTGTAGTTTTTAATTCTGATTCAATGGGATTTAATTTTGTTTCTTCATCGATACTATTTATCGATGATGAAGATTTCATTAATGGATTATCTGATACAGATGAAGGTGTTGTTAAACTTGTTTCACGACTTAGTACTATTGATTGATCATTTTTCTAAATTAAGTTTTATTTAAAAATTTAGTTTCATAGTAGAAGCATTTAAACCTCTGGATTTGATGATGGATCTATTAAAGCGTCTAAATTCGCTGAAGTCCATGCACGTTTTTTAAATGGTAATGGTGAATTAACTGTTGCTGTTGAACTATCATTTGATGAGATAGTTCCATCACTTAATTGTCTCGTTAATGAACCTTGATTATTAGCTAAAATAATTAAATACAATTTGTTTAATATTTTCTTTTTAATTCTTTTTATATTTTGTCACAAATACATACAGTACAAAGTAGAGATGTGCAAGATACAGAAAAGCTTATTCTGCGCATACCTCTTGTACAAAGATCAATATCATAAAAAGAATTTTACTGTTTTTAGAAGTCTTTCAAAGTCACTTAACGAAGGACTGACCCTTTGAAATTGGGTTATGACTATTTTCATGATAATTCGATCTATTTTTAAGTATTTATCGAAAAATTAAATAACGAAATTTCAATCTGAAATTTTACTCGTAGGTAGATTTAATGATGTTTAGAATATAATGAAAGTTTCAGTTGAATACAGTGTTTCTTGTCGAGATATTAAATTTTTAATTAGGCTTTATTTTCTCCACAAATCTGTGAGCAACAACTGTGTTTTTGGCAAACTCAATATCTCGACAAAGGAATATTTTTTTCAACTGAAATTTTTAGGATAGTCTAAGAATTATTATAACTATCTATGAGTACCTGTAAAAGCTACGGACATCCATGGTTACTTTGATATTTATTTGTAAAACATCTTATATAATTAAAAATCAAAGTAACAATGAGCTACGCAAAGTCTCCAGTCAAAAATTCAGTAAAATGGTCATAACTTGGTTTCAAAGACGCATGGGGACGAACTATTTCAGGTTGCGCTTGCCCTACTCACGAGGAAAGGTCCCCAAGTGATAAATCGCTTTTAATTTGAGACTATATTCAAACGATAAAGCTTAGTCAGTAGATAAATAGTCTAGAGTGGTTCGAGCTGTTGCGTCTTTGTTCTTAAAATATCGAATCTTTACTTTATGTGGGCCAAGTATCGGGAATGAAGTCCTTCAGGGACAACCTACTAACAGCTTGAATCACTCCTGAAGATTACAGTTGGGATAGTTCATATGAAGTTTCGAACTTAACTGTTTTATTTATCTTCTATAGAAGAAAGACTAGAAATGTATTATCTATTCAGTATGTCTTCTTGAATGCTAATAAAATTCTTCATTTCTAAATTCATCACTTACAATTTGATTTCTTCACAATTTCTGTTGAAACTCCATTTGTTATTTTATTTAGATCAGTTTCAGATTTTGATATATGTGAAGAATTTGATAATCTTTTAGTTTGTTTTGATGAAGAAAATTCTTCATGATCATCATTTTTAATGTCTGAATTAGTCTCATCTGTATTATTATTATGAGTTTTTTCTGAATTTATATCAATATTTGTTTCTTGTTTGGATTTTTCTATAACAGATGAATTAGTTGGAAGTTTTTTAAGAAATTGATCAAGTGTTAATTGTTTAAATGTTGGTTGTTTAACAGATAATTTAGTTGGCGATGATGGTGGAGTTCTTTCTTTTTCTTTGTCTGCTTCTTCATCTTCTTCTTCTTCTTCTCCTTCGTCTTCTTTTGTTGATTCATTTATTATTGAATCTCGTCGACGAGCAATATATTCTTGTGAATGTTCATCATGATTATTAATTACATTAGATTCATTTTTGTTTGATACACGATATTTAACATAGATTGAACGACGTTTTTTTCCAAATTTTCGTCTTCGAACATAACGAACAACTTCAGTTGTATTTGCTTGATTTGATCCATCGGCTGATTCAATAAGAGTTCCTGCAGGTCTAAATAATCGAAAATTGTAAAACAAGACTGAAGTTTAAATCAGTTTTTTTTAAAACAAAAAAATCTTACTCAATAGGATCGGATTGAACCTTTTTAAAAACAACTTGAATTTCTTGAAGTTGATTTTCCATACAATTTTCATCATGTATAAATAAAATTGGTTTAAGAACTGGTGCAAAACGAACAAATTCACTATCTAATGAAACCCAATGTGCATGTTTTATTTTTTCATTTTTCATTATTATTTCTAATTGTTTAACATCAACAATAATTACTAGTCTAAAATAAATAAATTATTTAGTTTTCATTTTAAAAATATTTTGAATATAACAAAAGTAATAGCAGAAGTATTTTAATTTCTTAAGGAAGCTTTATCTGTATACGATTCGATATTTGATCATTCTTCAATTAATATTATAATAATAAAAAAGTTCCAATAAGAGCTGTTTTCTTTATGATATGGCACGATCCCATTTCTTTTTTCAATGTGTATTCCCTTCTCTCCTCTAATACATATCAGTCTATACATATTAATATCTACAAAAAAATGATGCCGGTAAAACAAATAAAAATGCAAAAACTGAATCATCAATTCTTTGAATAAAGAAGAGTATAAATTGAATGTAAATAACCAAGACAAATATTTCGAACAATTAATAAAGTAAAAACTTGATGAATTTATTTTTATATTTCTTTTTTGTTCATCATAATATGGAGAAGACTGTCTTCCGCTCAACAAAAAAACAATAAATTTGATCGCTAAACGTATTAATGTGAAACAGATTATGGAGAGTTAGTGTTTATGTGTAACAGATTGTGCTGTCATAGCAGAAAATGCACTGATCTCAAAAGCTAATTGATTGATTAGATAAAGTGAAATAATAATAATCTCATATGATCAAAATGATTCTATTAGCTCGAAAAACTTGTGAAGCAGAATGTGGGTCTTTTCTTCACCTACTCTCAGCTACATTAAAAATGAGTCGCATAGACTTTCTTTGTAACCTATTCTCTGACTGACAAAAATTCTCTAACCATACAGTACTCAATGAAGTTTTTATCTAATTCTATCCTAATTGGAAAACTCCAAAAAACAATAAATAGCAAAATAGTAGAACGCTAGCGATGTACAGAGTAAACTTTACCGTGTCCTGGCTGAGAAAATTTTTCTAACTCTTATCTTGCGAAGATACTCAAGTGTCTTTCAGAAAAGTTCCGAATTCCAAAAATTCCCGTCTCGTCGGACATTTCATGAAACAAAAAAAACAAAGATTTCGAAGTGAAAAACAGTTTGTTCAACAGTGTTCTAGATAATCCTGCACATCGTCTATGTCCCAGCAAAAACATTTTGATAATCAAACATGTTCATACGCTTAATTTGTATAGACGTCTAGGTATTAGAGGAGAAAAAAAAAGCGGATACACATTGAAGACAAAATATATTCGTCATATATTATAGGATTGTTTTTACTATCGAATCGTATAGAGAGAAAGTTTCTTTTACAGAATTAAAATACTTTCGGTATTCTTTATGGTATGTCATAAGTAGTTATTTTTAATTTACTTTTCATTGGATTTCATTGTTAAAATTCCTAAATTTTGTAATNCTTTCGATATTCTTGATGGTATGTCATAAGTAGTTATTTTTAATTTACTTTTCATTGGATTTCATTGTTAAAATTCCTAAATTTTGTAATGTATCAATAATATCATCAACTGTCATACCAGTTTCATTCATTAAATCTCTTAATATACATTTATCTTTGTTTTTATAATAATAGTAAAGTAATTGTTGAACTAATTTTATTTTCCAATAAGCTTCATATGTTTGTGCACCATGTGTTGATAATGGTCTTTCAGGTGTGCCTATTTGACCTTCTTTTTGTGATAATAAATAACTTAATTCAATTAAAAAACGTCCATAACCTTGACGTTGTCGATTAGGTAAAACAGTTATACATGATAAATTATATTTTTGTGGACAATGTTTTTCTTTTGAAAAATAACCAAGAAAATGACAACCATTAGAATCATTTTTAGTTAAAACATAAAATAAAAACGGTTCAACATCATAATAAAGTGTTTTATGATCAAGAAATAATTTGGCTAAAAGACATAAATTTTGACAATAAATTCGATTTATATTTCCATCGACTTCAAAAACGGATAGATCATCTTTATGATAGATTTCATTTGCAGGCGGATGAAATGTTTGACACTTTATCTAAATAAAATAAAAATAACTATTAGAATAATCACTCATAGGTTTATCTTTCTTTAGTGACATGATTTTGTAAAATAAAAATGCGTCTACATCTATGTAACTGAGATAACCTGAAAGATTACTACTAGCTATGTGACTCAAGAGAGAACATATTCAATTTGTGGATAATATTTCACTTCATATTATGGCTACGAGTAGATCTCGATGAAATGAAGAAAGTTTTAATAAGACTCAAACCCATCGTCTACTCGTGAATAGTTAAGGCATTTTCAAAATAAAATATTTTGCCATAGGAGAACACAGTAATCGAATAATTGTTGTTAAAACTTTCGGCACTATCTAATAACTATTAAAGGCAAATGTAAGTGCCACGGTAATTTTTGATTACAGAAGATCTATGTAAGTTAGCAGAGGAAGACTTCTTCTATTTAATGATGTATGTATTATAAAGTTCTATTGCGTACAACTAAGATGTCAATAAGGGGACACCCTTTGTTAACGTTTTGACAGTACACAATAAAACTTGATAATACATATACCACTACATAAAGGAAGCCTTTTTCTAGTAATCTACATATTTTCTGTTTGGCGGTCAAAATCTTATAATCATTTTTGTGTTCGGATTTTTCGCCATTGACTTGCTCTAGAAATAGTCATTACTCTTTATCAGTAAGTCATAACTTGAAATTTATTAAATCTTTTGTTTTTGTCTCACTAGAATTAATTCAATAGATAACATTGAATCAATACTATGCAAGAGCATTTTAGTTTTTTTTAAATTTTGTAGTAATTCGTAAAAATACACAACAAATTTTCACAACGACGGCTATGTCTTTTATAAGTTGTTGTTAAGAAGTTTGTCATGATCTGTGAAAGCGATAATGAGATTTCAAAAATCTCGTCCTATACTTCAACATTCTGTTATTAGTTCATATTTTACAAAAACTTACTGCACAAAAAAAAAACAACAACAATACATACACGATGTCGATCGTAAACTTCTTCACATTTCATATATTTTAAACAAAATTCACATATAAATAAACGTGGAACACGCGCATATTCTTGTGGATACGATGACGAATACCATGTCTTAATTAATTCTGAACCAAAAACAATATAAGGTGGCCAACGAATATTATTTATATCATCTTCTTCTACTGATTCAGTTGAATGTCGAAATTTATCAGAACACTAAAATACATTTTAATAAATGTAAAATTCTAATGAAATTTTGTGATTCTTTTTTTTTTCAATCAATACTTACATCTGAAATGAGTTTTGAGGAATTTTTACGTGCATCAAGAAATAAATAGACGTCATTGGCAACTATTGTATCTGGAAGTGAATCATGAAGAAATGATGGCGGAGTTTTGTATTCTAAATAAACATAAACAACAAATATTGATCTGTAATAGAAATATTTAATTATACAAATTAATTTTAGAGTATTCAATCCCTATTATCCGATTTTAGAAAGTGAAATTTTTCGATTTCGGTCTTTACATCGCCAAAATATTCTCTATCAAACATCGGATAGTAGGCTTTCATTATTAGTTAATGATTTTATTTAAATCGACTTCGAAAACCTCCAGTAGAAAAATTTACTATAACTCTTATGTGACTATATCTCATTATAATAGTGGTGATTTTGCGCTTCAACGTACGTTGAGGTTCTATCATTGACCTTAGAGATCATTAAGCATTGTTGGTCTATGATTGATTTCGTTAGGGAAATAAAAATTCTCAAGCATTCAGAAAATTGTGTGTCACGATGTTTTTAGGTTTTTCTTAAAATTAACTATTGACTTATTGGCAGATTTAACAATAATGCATCAGCAAAAATGGACGAATTTTGGAATAATGATGAGAACGTATAGAAGCATCTGTCAGCTGAGAATCAATGAGAAACTTTTGTCAAGCTATTTATTAGTGAGAAACTCCAAATTCAGAGAGAGATTTGGTGAAAGAACGAAGGGCACCCTTTCATCGATTGAAACATTTCTGTTACGAGTTTTATGTAGAGTGGACGAAGTAGAATTCAGAAAATAGTCTGAAAACACTGGTATTGATGAGAAAATCAATTTTTGACAAAAATTAAACCACTGGATAGACACATCTAATAGATATTCTGATATCGCTTATAGAAGAAATCTTTTAATCTGAATGTGTAGGTTTTGAGGAAAAAAAAACACTTCTCAACAAGAAAACATTATTTCCGAGAGGAAAAGTTATATGTTCGTCTGCTCGATGAAAAATGCGTATTGTGAGAATAATGTACTTTTAATGATTTATATTAAAAGTGATGTGACTTTCTTTTTAAATGAACTTACTTGATAAATCTAAATTAAGTTTTCGTTTAACAACTGTTGATTTGTTTTGTTGATCGTTCTTATTATCTTCAATTTCATCTTCTTGTATTTTCGTTTCTTTGCGTATCGAAGGTGTTTTTTTAATCGAGGATTCATTTTTTGTTCGTTTTTTTATTGTTATTGGTGTATGAGGTATTGGTGATATTGAATGTTTTCGTTTAGTAATTAATCGAGGAGAATTTGTTCTAGTTGATTCTACAATTGGATGAGTACCTGATCGACGACTTATTCGAGGAGTTGGAGTAATTGGTTCAGAAGTTAATACTTTTTTATTTATTGAACGACGTGTCATTATTGGTGTGTTCATATCAGTTTGAGAACTACATATTTTAAAATACAAAGAGAGGTAATGGTGATTTGTAGGAAAATCATTCCAATTGAATTTCAATGAACTATTCATTTAGAAATAAAAACAAGATGATGATAGAATACAAAGTCATGTATAATTCGTCAGACTAGAACAGCATTTTTTTGACTGTTATTGAGTTCTTTCTGTCATAACAATTATTTTTTCAATCAAAGCAGATAGTATATTCGAAATCAGTACAAAAAAGTGACGTTGATCTGTGTATGTTTCATACTTTTTTGACGACTTTTATTTTTTTAAAATTATTTCTTGAGATAGCTATGACACAAAGGACCAGGACTCTAATTTTGACCGAAAATAAAAATGTTTGAAATACACATAGATCGATGCCATCTTTTGTGTTAAGTTTGAATATGATATTTATTTTGGTTGGCAAGATGGCAGCTACAACAGAACTTGCTGAATATCGACCAAAAAAAAATGCTATTTTTGTCTGATAAGTTATGCATGGATTAGAATAGTCCGTGAAAAGTTCTATCACTTAATATGAAATTCAGAGTATAGGATGGTTTATACTCGACTATTAATATATAAAACGTTTAGTGTGTATCAAGTAACAAGTATATAAGTCAAGAGATACGTGCCAGATTAAATCATTTCAAAAAAATATATAAGCTATAATTTCTATCATCATCTTCGTTATTTCTACATGAATAGATATATTAGAATTTAATCGGGCCGATTTCCTGAAAAAGTCGTCACTACTGTTGTCTATCGCACAAGAAAAAAAGACTAAATGTTTACTTGGAAGGCGAATCATCTGTTAAATTTAATGGTTTTCGTCGAATACGCGATGTTTTTGATGAAGCTAAAATACTTCTTGCTATTAATTGATTTTTATTATTTTCATTTGTTTTTGTTGATTGTATTTTTGCATTTAAACGTTTAAGAACATTTCGATTTGAAGATTTAATTGTTTTATTTCTTAAATAATTCATTGCTTTTTGAACAGATTGTTGTCGTTGTGTATTATTTATTTTATGTTTTTTTGGTAAGAAAAAATTTGACATACCATCAATTAACTGAGCAACAGGACGAGATATAATCATAGGTATATCATCTTCATTTGAATTATGACTACGTAGTGAACGTGTTGTTGATGAAGTTTTCATTAAAGATTTTTTTCCTGATGATTTTATTGTTTCATCTCGACGACAATTATGACAAATAAAATCACCTTTAGGAATGTGATTTAATGGTGGATTGCAACATTTTGGATGTACTGCTGCATCACAATAATCACAGAAAATTAACTAAATTAATCAATAAAATACGATAGGATTTATACTGTTTATATAAATAAATCTGTAGATTAGATGTTCTGATTTTGGAAGAGAAGCAACTCAAAAGATGTGAAACTTTTTCGTGTCTCGAATGGTTCCGTTGACTACATAAAGTGTATTCAAACGGCTTATTACTTTTTACTCGATTAGTTTCCATGACAAATTTTTCTTTTTCTCGATGCATTAGTCATGACTTAAGCCAGGTACTCGTTCTGTACACCGAACAATCATTTCGAAATGAGATAAAGCTTGCAAAGATCGTAAGTATGTGACGAGTACACATCCGAAATTCGTTTTATAAAAATTCGATCTCGTTTTGGCGATATAAAACTGTAGAAAACAATAATTAACAACTAAGACCTTTCTTATTTGGACATAAATGATTTTAACTGTAAAACATCATTAATATTTGAGATACTATATGCAATGATTTCCTAAACTGTTCATAATTGCTTCAGATTCATTTATTCTTTCTTTGTTAACTTGTTACCTGAACGTGTTTGAAGTTTATTATGATTTCTTCTATAGACGTGTAAGATTTAGATATAGCAAATGTCATATAGGACCACATTCTGGCATTTTTCGATTTCGACTCAAGTAGTAGTTTAGTTCTTTTTTTTCTGGTATTTATTTGAATAGTAAGATATTTGTTACAAGTAAACAAAAATTAGTGTACGATACGTTCTAAAATACGGATTAATACTTGAGGAACACCGTTTTTCTCTATATTGACGGGAAATTTGTAGGATTTTTCTATAAGATTCTACTTTCATTATGAACTAATCTTGTTACGACTTGTCTCCATGAAAAGTTTCAAGTCGAAATTCGACAATCAGTTTTTCTCTTGTTTGGCATTTCGTCTTGTAAATACTATTAAAAGTGTAATGTCTCCACAGCAATAAGCTAAAAGAAATAGCTTTTTTCATAGTATTCATAGCACATTTAGGTTTATATAATGCACGTAATTCTGATACAAAAGCGATTTGTCAGTTGGAAAACTTCTCTCGTTAGAAAAAGTAGATTAAAAAGGTCAGAAGAACCTATAAAAATTCAAATACACCAAAAAACATCATGTTTTGGTAACCTCAATATTTATCCGAATTTTTTTTGTCATTTCAGCTGTTATATATTAGTGATAGACTTAAGTTTAGAGCAGTTGGATCCTTACGTTTTCTTCTCACCGGTAATAGCTAGCAAAGATCTAAAAACCACATTTGTGTAGTTGACAAGATTGTCTATTAAGATTGATAGGTGCGAAGATTTTCATGAAACTAGCTTTGAACGAAAGTCAGAAATTTGGTTCTCGAAGTCTGTAAATCTACCAATCCTAATAGAGAACCCTTTCAGTTACACAAATGACTTTTCAGATTCTTACTAGTTGTTACTATCGAAATTAAAACTTAAAATCGCAGCTGCGCTAATCTCTAGTCCGCTACTATAGTTAGTAAAAAACTTATGTGCTTTCTGAAAAATATTTCATTCGATATCATAACAAAACTCCATAAATACAAATTCATTTTCAGAATCAACACAAAAATCTGCAGACAAATCGATATTTATGGCATTTTGTTATCATATCGAAAAAATCTATTCTCTCAACTGTCAAACAATATTTGTCAAAAAAACGTGCATAATCTATTTTCTAACCATATGACAAGTGAAGTAAAAACAAAAAGAACTTCGGGTATTTATTGATAGTTAATCACGCTTTCGACGTATTTCAATATGTAATCAATAACTCGACAAGCTCTATCCAATCATAACAAAACAAAATATTTTGCTCTAGTTTTCAATTGTCACCATCTTACGTACTGAATCATCAGCTTGGTTACAAATAACACAACGTTTACAATCGAGGCATTGCCATCGAATTGTTTTTATTTTTTGAACAAGTTTGTCTGAATATTTTAAACAGGATGGATGTCCTATAAAAAAAAAGAACTTTTTTTTATAGTTTTCATCAAAACTAAAAAATTGTCCTGTCATACCACAATTTCCACATTCAGAACAACTTATCATATCTTCAGGTACATTATTTGCATTTTTCTCTTCATCACCCATACAAAAACTACATATGCCAAGTGGTTTAACATTTTTCTAGATAAAAAATAAAATATAAAAACAACAACAAAAAAAAAAGATATAAGAAAACTTTTTTCTCATGTGTTGTTGATGATATTCGCCGTTTTGTTGAAGAATTAGTATTATTTGTCGACGATGTTGAACGTCGATCACGTAAGCCTTTGGCTACCATTCTTTACCATTCAATAATATCATCGGAATGACTCGTATATTTAATTGATTTCTTTTTTTTCAATAAACGAAAAACAATCGATCCAGTTGACAAACATAGGAAAAAAAAGATGAATGATGAGTCATCATTTAAACACAATAATGCATTTTGTATTCCTTTAGGAATTTCAAACGAAGGTTTAACAGAATAAATTATACTTCTATTTGGCGACATCTATAAACAAACGTTTGTACGAAGAAATATTAGGTTATTTTTATTAGTTTTTAAGCAGAATTAAAAAGAAAAATACATAATAAATCAATAGAAAATAATGTCAATAAGTTTTTCAAGTATCTCGAATCATAAAAAAGACATGGTCATGTAACGACATCTAATAGAATATTCTTATAGCATAAAGCGATATTGTGTAGAAATTGTTCGATTTTTGTTGCTAATTCATTCTATAATTTTACTTTTTAATTAAAAACATGATTATTTGAGTGCATCCAGTGCAGTTTTTTTAATTTGTTCCGTTTATTATACCATAAATATCTATTTGTCAGTCTCCTTGAAAAAGAGAGGTCACTATCCACTATTGATTTATTGATGCATTTAAAAATTTGTAATTTTTCCCATTTCAAAAACATAATTTTTAATTTTGTAAATTCATGAAATATATATTTTTAATTTTAATTTTAATTTTCAATTTTTCATCTATAACCGAAAATTATGATTTCAAAGCATTTCATTTCAACCAATGAAATATTTGTTTATTTATCATCATTTTTCATTTCAGTATATTCTTTCAGACGTTCTCTAACTTCGAATTTTTTTTTCCGTTTTTTGTTTTTCTGTTTTCCTTAATTTTAGAAAAACCAAACTTCATGCCTTACGATCGTCTTGTACAAGTAGGTCGGGTTGCCTACATTGCCTATGGTCCTGAAAAAGGCAAAATATGTTGTATAACAAATATAATCGATCAGACACGTGTACTTGTCGATGGTCCATCATCACATGTTGCTCGACAAGCATTAAATATAAAATCTTTACATTTAACAAAACATGTTCTTAAACTTTTGCCTGGAGCACGTTCAAAAACGGTTAAAACTCTCTGGGATAAACATGATATTAATAAAAAATGGCAAGAATCACGTTGGTGTAAAAAATTACAAGCCAAACATTTACGTTCAAAAATGACCGATTTTGATCGATTTAAATTATTACATGCTAAACAAGCATATAATCGCATAGTGGCACATGAATATAATCGTTTGAAAAAGAAAAATAAGGTACAATTAGCTGCAAAAACAAAGAAACGTCATCCAAGAAAATTTGTTGCTAAATCACAACGTATTGCAAATAAATTTAAGATATTTGCTGCAACAGGTGCAACTGGCAAAAAGAAATAAACAAGAATCATTTAATATAAGCATTGTTTTTTTCTTTTTTTGTCAAGTTTTTGTTTCTTTGCTGATATATATTTCAAGCAGAACAACTTGAAACGAAAATAAAAATAAGAAGAAGAATTAAAATAAAAATAGAAAACCAAAACAACTATGATCCTTGTTTAGTAACTATTTCATTGATTCTAGATAGTCGTATTGTTTTTTTGTTTGTTTTTGTTTTGTTTTTTTTTGTAATCATGATTGAAGAAACTTGGGATGATGATGAAACACCTAAACCATCATTTCAACAGGTTTGCTTTCAAAGAAAACGAGATATAATAGTGATGAAGTTTTTATTTTATTTTTTTATTTTTACCTAGCAACCACCAGTACAAAAATTAGGCATTGGACGTGGAAAATTATCATTTTCAGCGAATAATAATACTGGTAAAAATTTTATTCTATTATTGTTTCAAAAAAAAAAAAAAAAGAAAAGAAATATTATGCTAAATATGACACAATCGATGTGTAAAAAGTCTTTGTACAATATATCTGGTCAATTGTTGGTTACTTATAAGTCGTTGGAGAGAACTGAAAGTAACCAACTAGAATAAGAGTTTCATGGCATTTGTAATCATATGCTCGGAATATTTTTTTTAGCATAAAGTTAGTTTACTTAGGGTAGAGTAGAGCCTGGAAGATGCAAAATTTTCGGAGCCGGAAGCGGCCAAATTCGGGATCAACTCGACGAGCTCTATAGAAGTCAATTACATATTCGAATTCTTCGATTCCGAAAACCTTCGATCAAACTTTGTAAGAGAATTTTGAATATACATTTAAAAAGAGTATTACTAACTCAATCTTCTTGATTCTCTTCAATGAAATCTAAGTGTCCGAAAAATGAGCAAATATATTTATTGACACCTTTTAATTGAACGTTTTATATAAACATCGTTTTTTGACTACAACTTAAGATTCATCCTCCATAAACTAGCTTTCAGTGAGAAAAATATTCTAAACATATAATTCAAAAGAACATGAAATCCTAATTTCTAGCTGATCACTTTTGAATCTCTTCATTGATTCTATCAAATAATCAATCATATTATAATAGAAGAATTTTAAGAATATTTTATTTAGAATCAGCACCAGTTTCTAAATGGAATGGTGATGGTACAAGTACATCAAGTGGTTTTAATAGTCTTCGCAACAATGACAATGAAAATATTAAACCAAGTACTGATGGAAATTTCGGTTCTCGAAATGCTGGCAACAGTTTTGGAGGTGAATTCTATTGAATATATTTCTTTAATTCAAAAATAATTATTTATTTATAGCTCGTAATGGACAAAGTGGATTTAATAGTGGTACTAGCGGAGCATTTCGAAATAACAATGATGGAAATTCTCGTGGTAAGTTTTATATAAATATTTAAGAAGTTTTATTATGTTTGTTTTTTAAAAGCATGTTATAATTGTAATGAAACTGGTCATATGAGTCGAGATTGTCCGGAGCCACGAAAAGATAATCGTAGTGGTCGTGGCGGTTTTAACTCAGGTGCAGGTGATCGTAAAAATAATTTTCGATCATCGGATAATGCTGGAAATACATTTCGTAACATGAGAAATCCAAATAATAATGATGAAAATGATAATAATGATACAAAGCCAACTTTTGCTGGATGGCGAGGTGGTGCAGCGAATAATAATGAGTCGGATGATACTGCTAAACGTACAACATTTGGTAGTTCAAATACACGTGGTGGTTTTACTAATAGTGGTGGTGGATTTCGAGGTAATCGAATGTTTTATTGATATAATGATAAAAAAAAAGGTTTTCTATAAGGTGGTCGAGGAGGATCTAGTGCAGGCGATCGAGGAGGATTTGGTGCAGGTGATCGCGGAGGATCTGGTACAGGTGATCGAGGTAAATGATGTTTTTGCTTTCTAGATTTATTAAGTTTAGTTTTTTTTTGTCTTTTAGAAAATCGTAGTAGTGGAAGTAAGCTTCATTATTTTTGTTCAAATGATAGTTGATATTGCATGTCGAGTTTTTTTTTCTTTATGTCTAGATTGTTACAATTGGTGAGTATATTTGAATTTGAAATTTCTGTAACATTGCTTTTTTTCTTCTTCTATTGATATTTTCATAGTAATCAACCAGGTCATCGATCTCGTGATTGTCCTGAACCAAAAAAACCACGTGGTATGCCTGTAAATAAGTGTTTGTTTTGTCTATGACTAAGCTCTTGTAGATGCTGGTGGCAATGCATTTTTTGGTGCTGGACGAAAAACTGATAAAGTAGATGTTTTGTTTTTCTTTGTTTTCCGAAACTAAATTTTCATATGTTATTTAGGTATCTGATGATATATTCGATCAACGTAAGTATATAATAACTTCGAAAACTATTTGGTTCGATAGTAAAAATATAATGCTCTGATATTTGATCATTCTTCTACTAATATTATAATTATTAACATTTCGATCAGAGGTATTTCTTGTGATATGTGACGATCATATTTTGTCTTCAACGCACATACTCTTTGTTTGTTCTCATCTCTAATGCCCTAAATCTTTATCTCATTAAATTTTTGAAGTAATCGTTCAGATTATTTGCATTCAATTGCATTAGTTGAATTCGTTCATCAAGTCACATTCTATTTACAGAACGTCCAAAAAACATTTTCTCTTGTTTTTATGGAAAACTTCAATGTTATTTTTTCAAAAGTGTCGAATGAGAGTCAAAAAAGTCGTTTGTGGGAGTCGCTATTACCATCGACAAGAAAACTTAAAAATATAACTGACCTAAACTTTTGTTCGCTACTATACTTGTCAATAGTTTCAAGTATTAATTATTTATCTTAGCTGGTGGTCGTGCTGGTGCACAACCAGTCGAACGATATGTTCCACCACCTCCACCAACAACTGAAGCTGATATATTCGGTGAAGCAGTTAGTAAAGGTGAAAATTTTGGTAAATATCATCGAACACAAGTACGTTGTTCACCTGAAGGTAAACAAATAAACATAAATTTTCGTTTTTTCTTCTATTAAATTAAGTTTTCTATATTCTTGATTTAAGATAAAGTAAAACCTATTGAATTATATGAAGAAGCAAATCTTGGTACACAAATATTATCAAATATTCGTCGTGCTCATTTTGATGAACCAACCACTATTCAACGATATGCAATACCTTGTATTCGACAACAAGATGATTTAATGGCATGTGCTCAAACTGGTTCGGGTAAAACGGTATGTAATGATTTTTATAATCTTGAATCTGTTTATATTTAAATTGTTCTTCTTTTTTTTTGTTGTAGGCTGCTTTTCTTTTGCCTATTATTGCAAATTTACTCGAATTTCATGCGAATGAATTACCTGAAAGAAATCATCCACCATCACCTCTTTGTCTTGTTATTTCACCAACACGTGAACTTGCTTTACAAACTGAACGTGAAGCAAGAAAATTTGCTTATCAAACTCCTATTATACCATGTAAATTATCAAGAAAAAAAATCAATAAATTATCTAATAGAATTCATTTTGCTACTTAGGTTCGGCTGTTGGTGGTCTTGATATGTTTACTGTTACAGATCGTCTTCGTGAAGGTTGTCATATACTATCTGCAACTACTGGTCGTCTTAAAGATATGGTTGAAAAAGGCCGAGTAAATTTAATTAGTTTCTTTTTTCATATTTAAATCTTAACTTATACATTTTAGATTTCATTAAAAAAAGTTAAATACTTTGTTCTTGATGAAGCCGATCGGTATATAGACAAAGATTTACTTGTTGACTTTGTTTAATGGTTTTTTTTTTCTTTTTTAAAAGAATGTTAGATACCGGTTTTGAACCTGATATTCGTAAATTAGAAGATCTTGGTTTACCACAAAAAGAAGAACGTATTACATCAATGTTTTCAGCAACATTTCCTGATGAAGTTCAAAGACTTGCTAAACATTTTCTACGTGAAAATTATGTTTTTCTTGCTGTTGGTATACTTGGTGGTGCAAATGAAGATATTGCACAAACTATTGAACTTGTACCACAAGCCAGTAAAAAAGATCGACTTTTTCAATTACTTGAAGATAATCTCAGTATGAAAATAGAAAAAAATTTTCTTGTGGAACTTACATTATGTTTTTTAAAAGAAAAGTTTAGAAAGTGTAAGTTTTAAGACCTCTTCCTCACAAGAAAAACAAAAATTAAAATAAATGCATGAGACGAGTGTTTGAGTTCTGATCTTTGATAAATTATATGAGTTTTTATTTGGCATTTCATTTTTTTTTCGATTTTTGATCGCACATTGAAAAATTCTCTATGGGATTTCATTCTATATGTTATACTTTTTCGTGTTTGAAGAGCCGTGATTGAAATTCAAATAGGTGAAATACGTTTGTAAATGTTCTAAATAACACAGCTTTTTGATTTGTTCTCGGATAAAAATTTATATTCAAGATGTCAATGATGCATTGATTTGTTTCAGACATCATATGATCAGTACAAAAAAGTAGACTAATCAAAGTATAACGTTCGAGAATTATCGATATCAGTGTTGCTGAGCTTATTGAGACAAATCATTGTGTATTGATGTTAAATTAAGAAAAACAGCATACAAAAATGAAAAACAACAAGGTAAAGAAAAAATTTCTCTGTAAAATGCAAAAATGCAGGCACCTCCCCGAGCGATCGATTATCCTTGGAAAACAACTACAGTCAACTAGAGGTTTTTCACTTGCGAAGGAACGTTTTCACGTAATCTGTTTCGTTTGACTCCATATTTTGCCGATATCTAGAGGATCACTAGAGTACTATGATCTTCATTCTTCCTGCAGGAGTCCGATTTTCATCAATTTTGAATGTCGCAATATATTCATATATTATACAGCACTTGAAGCAGATCACTAGGTGATATTTTCTCGTTGACGTAATTTATATAAATATAATAAGGCTAAAGAAGAACGTATGTGAGTTCCACATTTTAGCCCATGTACTGATAAGTTTTTCAATTAAAATCTATATT